CAATGGGGAGCATGGAGGCTGACATGTTCATTTATTCACTCTGCAAATATTTATTCAGCACATATTGTCATGTGCAAAGCTCTGCTACAGGTTCTTAGAATAAAGACATTGAGGAGAGATGACAGCAGTGGGAGTGGCCTGCCTTCACATAATTTAACTGAGCAAGGGTATAGGAGCATTTTCATGATCCAAGTGGATTTTAGAGAGGTAGCCAGGTATGCACCTTCCTGAAAGACCAAGGGGAAAGGGAATGTAGGTGGTACTTCAAGGGAAGAAGTAATGGGGAAGCTTCAAGGTGGTAGCTAAAGCCTGCATTGTTCAAATCAGAGAATGATGTTTTTGCACGGGGGTGAAGGGGGTGATGGTGAGAGTTGTCGGGAGAGGGGGACTTCCTGTAACCAAATTGCAGCAGTCTTTCATGTAAGAAAAAGTCAGTCACTAAATGGCAGCCATATCAAAAGGCTTTCAACAGGAAAGGTAATTACAAATGTCATTAAATAAATAAAAATTATATTGCCACCCTTTCTCACCCTCATCCTCACCTTCTAAACCCATCTTTGAATTAGCTGAACAAAAGAACTTACCGTATCCCTCTTCCCCATACCTCAGATCCAGGCTGAAGTAATAATTAAAACCATGTGGCACTTGCCATCTGCCATGTATAGTTTTAAATGCTTTACATACATTAATAGTGTAATTCTCATAAAACTCTTATACGAGATACTATTATTTCCTTCATTTTACAGATAAAGAAATTGAAAAGTCAATTACTTGATCAATGTCACACAGCTAGTAGGTGACAAAAAGTGAGCATTGAAACTCAGGCAGTTTCATCACAGGACTGCTGCTCTTAACAATGCTGACGTCCTAATTTGTGTCACACTGAATGAAAAGAGATTGCTGTTTTTGTATTTTGTAAGACTGAGCATTTTAATTCCTGAAAATGAGAGTGTTTGTTAAACCTGGAAGTGAAGAAGAGCTGCGGTCTCAGAATTTTCACTTAGGCAGTGGGATGGGTGAACGTGCTCAAAGGCCGTTTAGAAAAGTAGTACAGTTATTTCGTGAAAAGTAATAGAGTAATTTTGTGTATGCTACCCAGGTAACTTGGGATAACCTAGAAGAAATTTATATATTCTTAGATATATATATACAACTCCAGAATGAAAAATGAAAAAATAGAATATCTGAATAGACATTCAATAATGAATATGGACACTGAATCATTCATCAAAAACCTGGCAACGAGAAGAGCCCCGGACCTGAAAGCTTCACCAGTGAATTCTGACAAACATTAAAAAACAATTAATGCTAATCTTTTTACAACTCTTCAAAAAAATGGAAGAAAAGGAAACCTTTTCAAACTCACTTTATGATGCCAAAGCAAAGCAAAGATGCTATAAGAAAAGAAAATTACAGGCCAATATCCCTGATGAAATTGGATGCAAAAATCCTCCACAAAATACTAGCAAACCTAATTCAACAGCAAATTAAAAGTATCATACACCATGATCCAATATGATTTGTCCCTGGGATGCAAGGATGATTCAACACACATATATACAAATAAATGTGATATACTACATAAACAAAATGAAAAATAAAAATCATATGATCATCTTACTAGCTGCAGAAAAAGCATTTTAAAAAAATTTAACACCCCTTCATAATAAAAACTCTTAAAACAATAGATGTAGAAAGAATGTACTACAACATATAAAGGCCACATATGACCAGACCATAGCTAACTTCATAGTCAATGACGAAAAGTTGAAAGCTTTTTCCCTAAGATCAGAAATAACTCAAGGATACTCCATCTCATCATTTCCCTCTCATTCATTTTAATTTAATTAATTTTCTTTAAGAGATGGAGCCTCACTCTGTCACCCAGGCTGAAGAGCAGTAGCATAATCACAGCTCACTACAGCTTTGAATTCCTGGGTTCAACTCACCCTCCTGCCTTAGCCTCCTGAGAATCTAGGACCACAGGTACATACCACCGCACCTGGCTTTCTTTTTCACTTTTTGTAGAGACTGGGTCTCACTATGTTGCTCAGGCTGGGTTTGTACTCCTGGCCTCAAGCAATCCTCCTGCCTCAGTTTCCCAAAGTGCTGGGATTATAGGCATGAGCTATCTCATCCAGCCAACTCTGACCAATTCTACCCAATATAGTACTAGAAGTCCTAGCTAGAGCAATTAGGCAAGAAATAAAAATGAAACTAAATTTAAAATTATCTTTGGTGCAGATGATATAATTCTATAAGTAGAAAATTATAGACCCCACAAAAATATCATAAACAATAAAGAAATTATGAGCGCAATTTACAAAATCAACATAAAATGAGTTGAATTTCTATATACTATTTAGTGAATCATCCGAAAAGGAAACTGAGAAAACAATTCTATTTACAATACCATTAAAAATAAAATACTTCAGAATGAACTTAACCAAAAAGGTGGAAGACTTGTACTCAAAAGCTATATAATATTGAAAAAAGAAATTAAAGGAGACATAAATAAAGACAGCCTACGTTTATGGATAAAAAAATGTAAGACTGTTAAAATGTCAATACTACCCAAAATGATCTGCAAATTCAATGCTATCCTCATCAAAATCCCAATGGCATTTTTTGCAGAAAGAGAAAACAAAAAATTAAACTATATATGGAACCACAAAAAGCCCAGGATAGCCAAAGTAATCTTGAGAAAGAAGAACAAAGCTGGAGGATTCACATTTCCTCATTTAAAAATACATTACAAATCTACAATAATTAAAACATTATGTTACTGGCATAAAAGAAGACATACAAGTCATGGGAACAGAATAGAGTCCAGAAGTAAACCAACACGTACATGATCAACTGATCTTTGACAAGAGTGCCAAGAACACAGTAGAAAAAGGATAATCTCTTCAACAAATGGGGTTGAGAAAACTGGATATCCATAAGCCCAAAAGTGAAATTGGGCCCATGTCTTATAACACGCATAAAAGTCAATTCGAAATGGACTAAAGACTTACTTAACATTAGACCTAAAACTGTAAAACTCCTAGATGAAAACACTGGGGGAAAGCCTCTTGGCACTACTCTTGGCAATTATTTCTTGGACATGACACCAAAAGAACAGGCAACAAAAACAAAAATGGACAAATGGGATACATCAAACTAAAAAGCTTTTAAACAGCAAAAGAAACATCAGTGTGAAGAGACAATCTATGGAATAGTAGAAATATTTTCAAACCATGTATCTGATAAGAGGTCAATATCCAAAATATATAAGGAACTTCTGTGACTCAGCAAAAAATCCAAATAACACAATCAAAAATTAAGCAAAGAACTTGAACAAACATTTCTCCAAAAAGACATACAAAGTGCTAACAGATATATGAAAAGATGCTCAAAATCATTAATTATTGGGAAAATGTAAATCAAAACAATGAGCTATCACCTCACACCTGTTAGGATGGCTACTATTTAAAGATAACCAGTGTTGAGGTTGTAGAGAAATGAGAACCCCGTACCCTGCCGATGGGAATGTTAAAAGGTACCACAGCTATGGAAAACAGTATGGAAGTTTTTCAAAAAATTCTAAATATAACTACTATATGATTCAGCATATCGGCATATGTACTTCTGGGTATATAAAATAAGTGAAATCACAATCTCAAAGAGAGGTCTGCATTCCCATGTATTTTGCAGCACCATACACAATAGCCAAGAAATGGAAACAATCCAAGTACCTGTTGACAGATAAATGAAGATAATTCAGTATATACATAAAATGAAATATTAGTTGTTAAAAAGGAAATACTGTCATTTGTGACAACCAGATGAACCTGAAGGACATTATTCTTTGTGAACTAAGGCAGTCACAGAAGGAGAAGTGCTGCATGATTCTACTTACAAGGGATCGAAAATAGTCAAACTCATAGCAGCAGAGAATACAGTAGTAGTTGTCAGGGGCTGAGGGTGGGAGAAATGGGAAGTTGTTATCTAAAAGTTGTAAAGTTTCAGTTATCCTAGATAAATAAATTCAAGAGGTCCTATACAACATAGTGTCTATAGTTAATAATGCATTAAGCATTCCAAAATTAGTTAAGAGGGAAGATTTCATATTATGTATTACATGTTCTTATAACAAAAGAGTAGATTGTTAACAAATCTTTATATACAAATAGATTTTTTCCCACATGCGTTTCTATAATAGGTAATTAGCAAAGTAAACCATCATTTTTGGGCCAGGAACAGTGGCTCACACCTGTAACCCCAGCACTTTAGGAAGCCAAGGCAGGTGGATAGCTTGAGGCCAGAAGTTTGAGACAAGCCTGGCCAGCATAACAAAACCCTGTCTCTACTGAAAATACAAAAAAAAAAAAAAATAAGCCAGGCATGGTAAAACAAGCCTGTAGTCCCAGCTAGTCAGGAGGCTGTCACGATAATCACTTGTACCTGACAGGCAGAGGTTGCAGTGAGCCGAGATCCTGCCACTGCACTCCAGCCTGGGTGACAGAGTGAGACTCTGCCTCAAAGAAACAAACAAAAAAAAGAGAATCACTTATCATTTTTGGAGAAACTGCCCTCCTTAGTGCAAATGAAATAATTGTTCATTTTTAAAATTTATTATTTTTTCTTTGTCACATATGTATTATGCCATTTATTCTACCAAAATCCTGCAGAGGAAGTTTTATTTTAGTCTAGTTTTTTAGATGGAAAAACTGAGACTCAGAAATGTTAATTAACATGCTCAAAATTACACCCTTAGGACATAAACATCAGTTTCTCACTTGGCCATCTGATTAGAATGACTGTTCTCTTTCTATCCTTCTACTAACCATAATGGCTGGTATGGAGTTGGTGCTCACTGTGAGACCCTGTATGTTTTGAATTTCACTAAGGTGAACTAAGCAGATAATCAGTAACCATTTGGCTCCGATGTGAAAAAAATTTTTTTTAACCAATCTCTAACGTATATTCAAGTTGCTGACAGAAAAATCATTGCTTACCTTTGAAGCAGAATATTCAAATCCTCCCCACAATATTACTCCTGCTGCCCCAATGCAGCACTTTCGCCAATTGTATGTACTAAGTCCTCCTAGGAAAGAGAAGGATCAGAAGTAGTTTCCAAGTCAAATTTTGCCACTGATAATGCAATAAGACTCAACCCCTCAACTGTGATAAGGAACACATTAATAATGATATCTTTGTTTTTAAAACAAAAGACTATACCACAAGGTAAATACTACATGATCTCACTCATACAGAATCTTAAAAAGTTCATCTCAGCCCGACGTGGTGGCTCACATCTGTAATCCTAGCACTTTGGGAGGACAAAGTAGGTGAAATACAAGGTCAGAGTTCGAGACCAGCCTGGACAATATGGTGAAACCCCATGTCTACTAAAAATTAAAAAAATTAGCCAGCTGGTGACTGGTGCCAGTAGTCCCAGCTACTGGGGAGGCTGAGGCAGGAGAATCACTTGAACCCAGGAGGCGGAGTTTGCAGTGAGCCAAGATCCTGCCACTGAACTCCAGCCTGGGCGACAGGGCAAGACTCCATCTCAAATTAATTAATTAGTTAATTAATTAATTAAATGTTAAATATTTAGTGCTGGAAGACACAAACTTGCAACTTTGATATTTTTTTTTTCTTTTGGCATGTAAAGAATGCCTTGGAGGGGAAGGTCAAGATAGTACAGGCAGGAACACTAACTAGGAGGTGATAGATATTGCTCAGTAAGAAATGATGATGCCTCAACATTGTTTACAAGCAATGTCAGTCCTTGTAAACCAGAGGGACAGATTGAAGAGTTATTTAGAAATAAAGATGGATGAATTTTAGTTACCTATTGAATAATGGACAGAGGAGAAGGGAGGCAGCCAAGTGACTTTCAAATTAGGTGACTATGTAGATTACAACTCACCAAGATAAGAAACTGAGGAGGTTATGCTAATGAATATAGGCCAAAAGCAAAGAAGTAGGAAATAGGGAGAGATGGGAAATAAAGGGGATGACTGAATGAGCAATATGCATTCTTTTCTCCCCTACAAGTTACGGAGAGTCAGAGATCCAGTGCAAAGGTGGAGTGCTCACAGACTGCAATGAGTAAATTGTCACGCCACTGTAAGCTTTCCTGCATTACAGGAAGGTTTCAGCAATACTACTACTTATGTTCTGCAATTTATCTAAGTAACACAAGAAAGGAAATTATTCTTCCATTAAACTGACTAGTATCACATTCCTTAAACCAAAATGTAGTCTCTTATTTAAATTGAAACATTCCTAAAAGAGAATACCAACCCAGAACTGGTTTAAAAAAAAAAAATGCATTGGAAAGTTATGTAATTTCGACAAAAGGTGAGAAAAAACCCATACTGTTTTTTGATATGTGATAAATGAAATGCAATATGAAAGCATTAAACCAATTTGATATAATGCTCAGGTAATTCTATATATTTTGGTGAATAGAGAATGCAGCCTATTAATTTCTAAAGTAAAGATCAGAGGTGATAGTTAGCCTGTAATTTACTTCAAAAGTTTAATGTACTCACAAAAATTAAAAATAAAAAAGATTTAAAAGTCTAATAGCACAAAAAAAATAGGAAAGCTATGAACAAGGCTTTTATGAAAATGTGGCTCATCTCATTTTCTCTCAAGGTGAATTCTTTGACTGCATGAATTATTCTTATTTTCTACTGTTATTACTAATAACATGTTATTCCTGACACAACGTAGGCACTCAAGAATTTCTGAATGAATAAATATAACCCAAGTTTTTTTCTGAAAAGGATTTAAGAAAGTGACATGATTTGAGACAGCTGGCATCAATTGAGGAATATCTTAGTGAGAAGACTTTGGTAGGCATGACTGATGTCCTAAAATACCTGGACAACTAGCTTTTGAAAGAAAGATTTGATGTATTCTATGATGCATCAGAAGGTAGAATTAGAACTAGTGGTATGAAGTCATTAAGAACAAAGTAGATTAAATATACTCAAAACTTTCTAGGAATTAATATTTCCCGCAAATGGCAGTTTCCCTTCTAATATAAGAAGTACCCCATCAAAAAGTCTTAAAGCAGAGGCTGGGTAAGAAAGCGTTTCTATTTAGGTGGGAGATGGATTAAGTACCCATGAGATTCTTCCACATTTTTGCCTTAATGCTGTGATTCTTTTCCCTCTAAACTTATTGAATGAACAGCCCATTCTGAATAATACTGAGTAATCTTGCAAAGATGAATATGTCAAGTCCAATTAATAACATTTGGATCCATGGATTTTATTCTGAAATATTTGAGGAAAAATTGCTACTGCTTTTAAATGGCCTTATCTCAAACCTAAGTGGTCTAAGTGAGCTGTGTATTGTCTATACAACGGCTTTGCTTCTGTGTTGGGTACTGCATAAAAAATTGTTGGCTCTCAGGTATGGATGGAGATTTGAGGGTTTTCTTATCTAGCCACCCATCCAATGATTGAATTCTTACAATAATGTCCTATGTGACAATCTAGTTAAAGTTTGAACACTTGCCATGTCTGCAAACTTACTGTCTTCTAAACAAGCTCATCCCCACATCTGCAGGCTTCCAGCTTTGTGATCAGTCTAAAGACAATACCTTTCTCTTTATATAAACCAGTTTTGATGCCTTGACATAACCACTGGATTGCATTGCAGACTCTTAAAGACAGAATCAAGAGGGTCTATGTAATTTTTTTGGTTAGCCTAACTAATTAAAACATACAAATGCAATATAATGAGAAATGTAGTTGCTTAATAATTTACTTCAAGCTCTACATTGTATGTTTTTGATTTGGAAAATTGCTGCTACCCTTTCATATTAAGAAGTTAGTTCTAAAATTTCTCTCTGGCTAAAATTAATCTATCTATTACGTTATTTATATCAAGCTTAACATCTGTAGGAAACTCCTGTGAATGCTAACCTGGTAAGAATCATTATCCAAAAATGTTAAGTGCACACCTAATTGTCAGGGACATTTTTCAGAATTGAGTTGACATTTGAGGAAATATACATGTTTAATAGCATTGTATTGCTAAAGGAAAATAAACATCCTAAAACATTTATGTATAGGCTTTATATAGTTATTCTACCAAATTTCCATTTTTTTAAAATGTGAGTGACTGTGCTTTTCCTTACCTGTGACAGAGCTTCAGTACTATGCAAGTAAAATGGTCCGGAAAAAATAAAAACTGGCAGAACATAGTTATGTCTAGCCATTGCGGCAATCCTCATGGCTTCTCTAACTCAACAATGAACAAATTTCAAAGCATTTATGCTTGGCTTCAATATTTTGTCCAAATATATTGAAGGATAAAGTGCTGCGCTTTTTCCCCACAGCCACAGGAGTTGGTCATTGCGGAGAATTTCATCATTTGGGCAGTTACCTGTGTACATCTCTGGATTTATTCTGTAATAATAATTGTAGCAGTCTGGATAGAGATAAAAGCCCCATAAACATTTTGGTCTCATTTCTAAAGCCAGTGTGAGAGTAGTGTTCATGAAATTCCTTCCAGCATTTTCAAATTCCTCTCGGGCAACTGTTTCCAATTTCATTTCTGATCAGTAAGGATGGTGGTTTCTAGTGAAGGCTAAAGAGTGGTTTTTATATATTATTCTGCTGCCCCAATTTCTATCCCATTGGGGTTTCCAACTTTCCCAGTCAATAACAACAAGTCCTTCTGATCTCCACCAAGGGATAGCTTCTCCAATGTCATCAGCAGTTTTCCTAAGGCGTTCAGAAAGGCTCACGTTCTGCGGCATTCCTCCATTAAAGGAGTTTCCATCTTGAGAGAAGTAAGGGTAATACCCTAATTCACTTGGATAAAATATGGCAATTTTTTGACCCACTTTGAGTCTCTAAAGGATTTGATATAATGTTAAATACTTGAAGATTTATATCCACGTTGAAGAAAGGCATACAATACATTGTTGGGGCTGCCCAGAAAATGTTGAAAGGCTGGTTCTTGATCACTGGAGGTATTGCTGGTTTGAGGGATGCCTGAGTTAAGAGGATAAAGAGAGGCAGCACTCCTAACCATGCCACCCATGGGTGACACATGGCTTGAGGTTTTCAGCATTACAGCAGTCTCCTTAAAAATAATAAGCAAAATATCATACATAATGAAGTCAAATGTCCCTTAAGTTTTGTGGTATACAATGAATAGGCCAAATATTATAAAATATCTTTGAGGTTCATTAGTATCTAGGCCAATGTATAGTTTCATCTGAACAAGGGAGGATAAGTGAGACTTTATTTTTACTTGAAATGTGAAAAAAAATCTAGCGAATGAAAACTATAAAAAGTTTCACACATTGGTCAGCTATGCAAACTCTACCTGCTAACCATTCTGGTTTTAATTTCCTATGATTCTGAATACACTAACCCAGACCTTCTTGTACTGACAAGCCTTTACTGGCTGTAAGAGGAAATAGAAAGGAACGTCTGAAAAGATTGTCATATCTTCTTCATCGTTACAAAGTGACTCCACGAACATGCCCACTTAAAAATTAACATATATTGGGATTTGAATGAATATTGCACAGAACAAAAAGAACTGTACTAACAGCAAGTAATACTTTACATGCAGTTTGAAATGCACTGGCCTCAAATGTTTGTTTTTCAAACGGAGAGCAGTTACCCTTGCAACTAGCAAAGGCTGAAATAAAGAACAAGTAGATCGTGCCATTGCACTCCAGTCTGGGTAACAACAGCGAAACTCCATCTCAAAAATAAATAAATAAAAAACAAGTAGAAATGTTAATTACCCTTTGTTGATTATGGATTTTGGTGCTATCATCTTCTTTTAAGCATATAAACAAGGCTAAAATCCTATTCATTCTTTAACTCCCATGGTTTTCCCAGAAAGAAACTGGAGTGTATTTTCAGCAGTTAAAACCCAAATAAAACTTGTCTCTTTAGGCTTCTCTAACTAGTCCGTTGGGAAAAAAACTGCCAAAGAATCTTTCCAGAATATAAGGCCTATCTAATAGTTGATGCATTCTAGCCAACAAGATCTCATCCTAAAAGCAATATGGTTGCAGTTACATATAACAATTATTTTATCATATGGATTTTTTAAATAAAGAAATTTATTTTAAACAGATTTTTCTCTGATGTAATTAAACTCAGGTGTTTGTTTTTAGAGATGGAGTTTTGCTCTTGTCAACCTGGTTGGAGTGCAGTGGCACTATCTCAGCTCACTGCAACCTCCACCTCCCTGCAACCTCCACCTCCCTGCAACCTCCACCTCCCTGCAACCTCCACCTCCCTGCAACCTCCACCTCCCTGCAACCTCCACCTCCCTGCAACCTCCACCTCCCTGCAACCTCCACCTCCCTGCAACCTCCACCTCCCTGCAACCTCCACCTCCCAGGTTCAAGCGATTCTGCTGCCTCAGCCTCCCGAGTAGCTGGGATTACAGGTGACTCCCAACACCATGCCCGGCTAATGTTTGCATTTTTAGTAAAGACAGGATTTCGCCATGTTGGCCAGGTTGGTCTCAAACTCCTGACCTCAGATAATCCCCCCACCTTGGCCTCCCAAAGTGCTGGGATTACAGGCTTAAGCTGGCCCAATTCCATTTCTTTTTAAGAGTCATACATTGTTTCTTATGTAGTTCTTAGTGTGTTTATTTAATGTACTAAATTCAAGAAAGACACCAACCAAAATCATAGGCTAACTCTCACAACATAGCACCCCAAGTTTGTAAAACAGCTTGAGTATGTCGTAGGCTTTCTGTACAGTGAATTTTTAAATCAACAAATTTGAATGATAATTTACTTTTTTAAATAAATTGGATGTTACAGAAACTATTGCCTTCATGTGGAGTGTGTATTATAGCACCAAATGAATCTCTAAGCTATCAGAGATGGTTTCTCTCCCACCACTCTTCTTCAATCATGGGGTCTTAATTTGACTCCCACTCCCTCCACCCCCCGCCAAAATATAAAAGCAAATCTTCTTCATTCTTTGTTGTTCAGGGAAAATGTAAGAATGCCTGCTCTCCATAAATATTATTCTTTACCTCCCTCTGGTCATGACTGCACATTGGGTATACATGCCTAATAAACTGACACCCTTGGGGGGAAAAACATCTTTTTAAAATGTCATATCACAATAAAATTTTTAGAGATAGAGGGACTAAAAATACAAAATACTGTACTTTAGTAAAATACAGTTACAAATTTACTCTTCTAGGAGATTTTAATTATGTTTTCCACATATATAAATAGCATATGATTGTCTATTTTTATAGCTAGCCTATGGAAAAATTATTTTTGGCATTATTTTGGTCCTTAGTCTGCATTTTATAACAAACTTCTACTACAGTAACAAAAATATGCATTATAATTGTATGAATTTTTTAATATAATGAATTCTTTCTATATACTACTTAGGTTTTATTCTTTCTAATATTTTTAATGTTCAAAATATAAAACTAGATATACATTTTTCCACTTATAAAATAGATACACTAATACATACATATACATATATACTTGAATTTTTATTCAACAAATCTGATGTTTCAGGCAAGTAGCCAGGTCTAGAGATGCAGTGGAGAAATCAACATAAGTCTACACATTATAAAAAGGTATAGATACTTAGATGTAAAATATAAAACAATAAGACTCCTAAAAGATAATATAGGAGAAAATTTAGATTACCTTAGATAAGGAGATGAGTTTTTAGATACAACACTAAAGGCACAATCCATGAAAGAAATAGTTGACAGGCTGAATTTCATTAAAATTAAAATTTTCTGATCTGTGAAAGACACTGTCAAGACTATGAGAAGACAAGCCACAGACCAAGAGAAAATATTTGTGAAAGACATATCTAACAAGAACTGTTATCTAAAATAAACAAAATCTCTTAAACTTCAACAATAAGAAAATGAACAACAGATTTAAAAATGAGCAAAATACTTGAATAGATACTTCATCAAAGAAGATACAGTGATATTAAAAGATGCTAAACATCATATGTCCTTAGAGAACTGCAAATTAAAACAGCAAGGAGACACCACTACATTCCTATTCGAATGGCCTAAATCCAGAACAATTCTAACTCCAAATGTTGGTGAGGATGTGTAACAATAGAAAACTCTCTTTCATTGCCGATTGGAATGCAAAATGCTACAGCTATTTTGCAAGAAAGTTTGGCAGTTTCTTATAAAATTACGTCTACTCTTATCATACAATCTAATTATTATGCTCCTTGGCATTTACCCAAATAACGTGAAAACTTATGCCCACACAAAAATCTGCACAAGAATGTTTATAGAAGCTTTACTCATAATTGCCAAAATTTGTAAGCAACCAAAATGTCCTTCAGTATGTGAGTAGATAAATGAACTGTGGCACATCCAGACAATGGAATACTATTCAGTGCTAAATAGAAATGAGCCATCAAGTCCTAAAATGACATGGAGCAAACCTAATATTACTAAGAGAATTAAGTAAGCATCTTACTAAGTGAAGTAAACAAAGCTGTAAAGCTTACAAGATTATATATTGCACAATTCCAACTATATGTACATTCTGGAAAAGAAAAAATATGGAGACAATTTAAAAATTAGTGGTGGCCAAGGGTTGGGGAGAGGGACAGATGAACAGATGGAACACAGTGGATTTGGAGAGCAGTGAAACTATTCTGTGTAATACTTTAATGATGGATACATGCCATCATGCATTTGTCAAAAGCCATAGAATGTACAACACAAGGAGTCAACCCTAATGTAAACTACAGACATTGGATTAGAACATGTCCATGTAGGTTCATCAGTTGTAACAAATGTGCCACTCTGGTGTGCTATGTTCATAGCAGGGAAGGTTGTGATGTGGGGGAGAAGGGAGTATTCCACAAGTCTCTCTACTTTCTGCTCAGTTTTGCTAGGAACCCAAGAGTGCTCTCAAAAGTAGTCTATTTAATACAATTGCATTCACTGCTACTATGTTTGTAATCAGATATTCTAGAAATAACAAGAAGGAGTTTACTATATTGTGAACTATATTAATATTGGTAATTCCACCAAATATTATAGTATGAAGTAATGTGGGTTTTTCTTTCCAGCTTCTTGTTGTCTTTCAACCTTTTCATTCGTTTTGCCATGAAACCCCTCTCAAGAAGAAAGTCAGCTTTAAAGAGCCAATTTCAGATTGACACCTGTGAAGTAAACATTTTTTGCTTCTCTTGCAGCCACTGATACCCATACTTCAACCATGCAGGAGCCAGAAGCAAGCTAGTATTTGGGGAAAAGTGCTTGGCAAAAGACAGAGAAGTGAAACACACCTCATCTTTTCTCCTGGCAGATTTTTTCATCAGATTTAATCCACAACAAAGAAAACACCATTAACTTTTATTAAACTTTGAATTTAACTTTATAAACTTAATTAGTGACTGAAGTGTTAAAAATCAGGTTGTCGTGTCTAAGGATCTTTAGGTGACTATAACTTTGAGGGGTTTGGTCTACTGTCCAGTTTGATCTGATGGTATATGCTTCAATAAACTGGGCCTGTTCAATACTTTGGTAATGGAAGGGACATTTGCTCCTTCCCTGTCCTGTGGGATGTAACAGGTGAGAGAGAACACAACTAGCAGGTAAGAGAGATGCAGAAGAAAAGGTCCTAGAGATGGATGGTGATGATGTTTGCAATGATATGAATGTACTTAATACCTCAGAATTGTATAGGTAAGAATGTTTTATTATATACATGTTTTGCCACAATTTTTTAAGAATGAGAGAAAGAATGCGGCAAATGCTGGGTGCAGTGGCTCACCCCCAGTAATACCAGCACTTTAGGTGGCCAAAGGGGGCAGATCACTGAAGGCCAGGAATTCTAGACCAGTTTGGGCAACAAGGCAAAAACCTGTCTCTATAAATAATAATAATAATACAAAAAACAGTTAAGCATGATGGTACATGCCTATGGTCCCAGCTACCCAAAAGGCTGAGGTAGGAGGATCACTTGAGCCCAGGAGGTGGAGGTTACAGCGAGCCAAAATCATGCCACAGCACTCCAGCCTGGGCAATGGAGTGAGACCCTGTCTCAAAAAAAAAAAAGGAGGGGAGAAAGAGAGAGAGAGAAAAAAAAAGAAAGAAAGAAAGAGAGAGAGAGAGAGAAAGAGAGAGAAGAAAGAAAGAAATAAAGAAAGAAAGAAAGAAAGAAAGAAAGAAAGAAAGAAAGAGAAAGAAAGAAAAAAGGAAGGAAGGAAGAAGAAGGAAGGAAGGAAGGAAGGAAGGAAGGAAGGAAGGAAGGAAGGAAGGAAGGAAGGAGGGGAGGAGGGGAGGAAGGGAGGGAGAGAGGGAGGAAGAAAGAATGCTTCGTGGGAAGCAGTGCACTTGGAGGACAGCCAGTTTTCTACTATAGCAAGAAAAAAAAGAGAAAACTCAGAGAAGGTGTATTTGATTTAGGAGATTCTCTTGATTGCAGATTTTCAGTTACAAAGAACATAATGGAAGTCTTCAGGGTCAGGGAATGGCATGATCTTTGCTCTATTAGAGGGATTAAATAATACAAAAAAAATAATGGCCAGGTGCAGTGGCTTAACCCTGTAATTCCAGCACTTTGGGCAACCAACGCGGGTGGATCATGAGGTCAGGATCTCGAGACTAGCCTGACCAACATGGTGAAACTCTGTCTCTACTAAAAACACAAAAATTAGCCAGGCATGGCAGTGTGCACCTGTAATCCCAGCTATTCAGGAGGCTGAGCCAGGAGAATTGCTTGAACCCAGGAGGCAGGGGTTGCAGTGAGCTGAGATCGTGCCACTGCATCCAGCCTGGGTAACAGAGCAAGACTCTGTCTCAAAAAAAAAAAGGCAAATAATAACCTGGGAATTTGGACTTCATGTGTAAAAGGCATGATGGAATGAGTTCTGGAGGATTCTTCAAGGAAGGTGAATAACCTGTTCCAATTATATCCTCCTTCCTTTCAGTGGTACTTTGGTCTGAATGTTTATGTCCTCTCAAAATTTATATATTGAAACCTAATCTCCAGTGTGATCATATTCACAAGAGGACTTTTGGGAGATGATTAGGGAGGCTCTTCCCTCATGAATGGAATTAGTGCCCTTATTACAAAGATCCCAGAGAACGGGATCTTTACCCCTTTCACCATGTGAGGAAACAGTGAAAGGATGCCATCTATGAACCAAGGAGCAGGCCCTCACCAGACACCAAATCTACTGGGACCTTGACTGTGGATTTCCTAGCCTCCAGAACTGTGAGAAACAAATTTCTGTTGTTTATAAGCCACCCAGTTTAAGATATTTTTGTTATAGCAGCCTGGGCAGACTAAGACCATTGGTATCTTAGACATTCTGTAGTGGGAAGATCTAGAGAGAAAGGCTATCCGCATTTTCTCTTGATCTTTCAGAATTCTATGGGGTCTCTTTTCAGTTCTGCCTGCCAAGGGCAGTGTCCAAAATGAAGAAGATACAGTTGCATCATGCTTTTCCTTACACATTTTCTGCAACTGACATATGAACTTATTGACATGGTGCTAAACCAGAAAATGCACACACACACACACACACACACGTATGTGATAATACATATAAAGAGTGTGTGTGTGTGTGCATGTGTATATGTGTGTGTGTCTGTGTGTGTGTTTCCATATTCCTATGCAACTGGGAATTTCATTCAAGAAATTCAAGAATTTCAGTTACATCTGGAAGTGAGAATAAGTTACATTTGTAAGCTATGAAATCATCGTGTTTAAGATAAAAAATTTAAAATGTTCAATAAGAATTCATTGATATAAAGATATCAACTGAAGGACTTCCTGTGGAATAATGTCAAATCTATAGTCAAGGTTTGTAGAGATTCTCACATTCAGATTCAACTCAGTAAGTATCAGCAGAGTTCACCACATTCATGACACGGTGTTTGATGCTAAAGATGACACAAGAACATGCCCGAGAAGTTCAAGGTCCAATGTGTGGGTGCGGTGTGTGTGTGTGTGCGCGCACGGAATGTGTGGATGTGCATTGGAGGGAACAGGAAGGAAAGGAACATATACATCCTATTTAATGTACCAAGGAGAATAGCATGAGTGACCGTTTTTTCTTTTTTAAAATTAGCTGTTATAAAATTAACAATCATTGCACAAAATATAGAACTATATAGACAAAATTAAGATTAATTTTGTCATTACTCAAAAAGTAATATTTTTCCTGTGTATCCCGAAGTGCTGATTAAATGAGAATCTTTTCCCTCCCTTCCCAATTGAAGAGGGCAATCAGGGCAGAAGGCCAGACGTCCATATACCTGGTCTCAGAGCACTGGCATTTGTAGCATTATTACAGCTGTGAATCGGTAATCCCCAGTGGTGGGTAAAGCCAAGAAACATATGTGCATAACCGCCCTCACCATTGACTTCTTTACAAAAACAGTGTCATATTACATATGCCATTTGCTACTGTATTTATTCACATGGGGTGGGTGGTGGCTTGTGAGGAATAATCAGCTTTGTTAGAGAGGGGAGAAAGCTACATTTTCTTAGCATATATAGTATGTGAAAGTAAACTGTGAACTCTAGTATAAGGATAAGACAATTATATAAATAACCTGTATTTATGTGGAGTAAAATAAGTTCCGTAAGCTAGACATACCCAGAATGCCATGTGAGTTCAAAACGTATAGCCATCAAGTGTGGTTTAAAAGATCTGGGTAAACTTCAAGCTGGATGTGGTATTTAAGGCTTGAAACATAAGCAGAATTTCAAAAAGCTGAAATTGCAAAGAGACTCCAGATGGAGGAAATGGCAAGAGGAAAGATGCCGAAGAAGAAAGACAAAGGGCATGTACAAATGGAAACAGACACTGATTTGGGGGTGTACATATCTTCACATGGAGATCTGCTGCAGGCAGTTAGGAATTTTTCTAGAAGCATAAAATTGGGCATCTTCTGTGATGAAGTGATGGTTGATGCAAAGGAGGAAAATATCTACAGAGCAGAGATGAGACCTAAAGATAGAATTTTCAGTATGACCTACATTTATATTGAAGAAGGAAAATGTCCAATAATGAAAGAAAAAAACGTCTTGAGAAATTGGGAGGACAGTACAGTGTACAGTGTACCTAAAGACAAGGAACACAAACTGTGCCTTAAGGAAGGCAAGTTGTGGAGCATAAAGACCAAAAAAAGGAAACTTTGCTGAAGCAATTCGATGCTGATTAAAGATATCTGTATAACAGCATGAAAACAGTGAAGGGGATCTGTTTAGTGAAGGTAGCATTCTTCCTTACACTCGAGTGATGTCTCTGTGCCCTCCTTTTTTAAATTTTTTTTTAGTTTTTAGAGGCAGGATCTCACTACATTGCCCAGGCTGGCCTCAAACTCCTGGGTTAAAGCAGTCCTCCTATCTCAGCCTTCCCAGTAGCTAGGACTAGCAACACATGCCACCATGCCCATGTGGCCTCTTTATCGCTCCCTAGAGATCCTTCAACTAGAGTAGAGAGAGGATTATTTCTCAAGAAGGGAATGCTTGGATGGTACAGCCTCTTGACTTGGAGGTACTCAACTGAATTTACTCCTGAAAGGCTAAGGGAACAGAATGACACCAGATTTAGAGTTGTGGTAAATAATCAGGTATATGGAGCCCAGTGTCTTTCAGTCCTGAGACACCAGCAAGGTCAGTCATGACAGATTTTAAGACATAAGGTTGACCTTACACAGTTGTGTAATATAGTTGTATACAATTGCATATGTTTCATAATCTTAAAATATGTATCCTATTTGAAATGGTACTACATCTTTTGAAAATTATTTATTAAATGATCTTATTTTTACTAGCAGTTGAAAATATTTGTTAACATTTGACTTTTCCTTTAGTATCTTTTGTTTCTCTCTTTAAAGACTCAGTGCCATAAAAAGATCTATAGGGTGTTGAAAAGTAACACATACCCAAGCTATACTCTTTTGTAGGGAAGTCTTCAAAAGAAGAAAAAACAAAATAAAAATTTGCCAACTTGGGATCTACAACATGAGTTAGATATTTAAATTTATATTAAGAGTAAATGTTGCTAGAGAATATACAAAACAAAGTAAATGGAACTTGATTTGTTGTCTAATATGAGCACTGTGGAATGTGCCAAAAGGCACAAATTCCATTTAAATCAAATTACCTTGATTTATTCAAAGTTGAACAGAGGATTGTCAGTAACAGATAAGTCATCTTTGGTATGCAAAAATGAGGCAAACACTCTCCTTTAAAAAGGACAGTCTATCTGAAGATTGTTTAAAGATTTACAGTAGAGGGAGCTATGGTGAGGAAAGGAGTATGTTTAAATTTTATTTTCCAAAAGTCCAAATGGACATTTAAGTTCGAATGTGAAGAAAAAAATAATATTCATATATAATATCAGAAACTTCTGCAACAAGCAGCTGGGGAAATCTTTCTTTTTTGGAAGCATCAGGCATTATATTAATTGCCTTGGCAATAGTTATACTTGGAGATTATATGCTCAGTTTCTTCTCATGAACTCAGCAATCAGAAAAGCTACTCCTCCTCCCCTGGAGAGGAATAAGAGAAGAGACAAGAATAGGTAAAAGTGTTTTCCATACTATTCTAGAAATTCTCTACCCTCCTCTAGGACACAAAAACCATGGGGGAAAAATGTGCTCGCC